TTTGATCATAACTGTCTTCCCTATTACCAAGAATTTTATGTATCTGTACATGAGAGTCCTTTGTATATGTATTGTAAATAAATTCCCTTACTTTCTGGCTTTACTTTTCACTGTCTTAATGTGTCTTTTCATGAACAGGAGTTCTTAATTTTAATGAACTACAAATGTTCAGTGTTTCCTTTTTTTTTTTCCGGTACCAGAGATCAAACTCAGGTCCTTGCACTTGCCAGGCAGGGGCCAGCACCACTGAGCTAAATCCCCGGCCCAGTATTTCCTTTTTATTCATGCTTTTCAGATCCAGTTTAGAAATCTTTGCCTACACCATGGGCATAAAGATACTCTACTAATTTTTTCTGTTTCTAAATTGAACATGTCACATCTCTATTCTTAGTTCACTTAGAATTAGTCTTGTTTGTGTTGTGTCATAGAAGTCAAGGCTAATCCCCCTACAGGCATTTATTGAAAAGAAAAATCCTTTGTCTCACTGCAATATACTGTCACCTTTGTCACATCAGAAGTCATGTAGGTCTGTTCTGGCCTCTTTAAGGTAAAGAGATGTATTTAAGACAATTGGAAATTGTTTCAAAGTAATATATTATTTGGTTGATTGAGAAGGGGTCTTGCAGAGTTGCTGAGGCTGGCCTCAAGTGATACTGCTGCCTCAGCCTCCTGAGAAGCTGGGACTACACATGCATGCTACAACACCCAGTAATATTTTGTATTTTACAGACACACACACACACACACACACACACACACACACACATGCACACATAGTTTCAAGTATCTCCACACAAATTACTTATTAATAATAACAATGGGAAAAACATTGACTTGAAATTGGAAAACCTAGTTGATTGCTTTAAACAAATGATCCTTTGATCCCCGGTACCAAAAACAAAAACAAAAAACCCCCAAAACAAAGATCTAATGTAAACAAACGATCAGCTAATATCGCCAGAATTGGGACAAACTGGCATCATCTGCTTTCTGATGTGATACACGGAGGAGAACACAACTTGTGTGGTGTTCTTGCCAAAAATGCATAATCTGAGTCTAATTTTTTATTTGTTTGTTTGTATATTTAGTTTTAGTGGTACTAAGGCTACCACCCTGCCTACTTTTTAAAAATATGGTCTTGCTGAATCACTAAAATTCCCAGGCTGGGCTCAAACTTGTGATCCTCCTGCCTTGCCCTCCCAGAGTCTTATAGGTGTGTGCCAATGTACCCGGCAGGCCAGGTCTAATTGTGATAAAACAGATGAACCCAAATTAAGAAATACACCGCAAAATAACAGACCTGTGTTCTTTAAAAACAGCCAGGTCAAGAAAGGCAGTGATTGAGAAATGTTCTAGATTAAAAGAACCTAAAGCCACATCACAACTATATGTAATGTATAAAACTGGGTTGGATTCTGGACAGAAGGAAAAATAGGCTGTAAAGTACATTATTGGGACAATGAATAGAATTTGAATACAGACTATGGAATTTTATCTTTCTTGATTTTGATAATTGCACTGTGATTATATGAGAATGTTCATTTTCTTAAACACACACATGAAGTGTTTAGGAGTAATGGATCATGATGTTTCCAGCCTATTAATAAAAGTAAAGTATGTATGCTTGCATGCACATGTATATGTAAGAAGATAAAGCAGATGAGGCAAAATATAAACATAGGACCAATCTAGGAAATGGTTATATGTGATTTCTTTGTTCTGTCTTTTTTTTTTTTTGCAGTACTGGGGATCAAGCTCAGGACCTTGTGCTTGTAAGGCAGGTGCAGTGCCACTGAGCTAAATCTCTGGCCCTCTTTGTGCTGTTCTTACCACTTTTCTCTAAGTTTGAAATTATAATAAAAAATCTCAAATATAACTAGTGATAAATTCTTTGATCCGTTTTACTATCATAGTGTCAATTACTTTTCTGTGCCCTCACAGACTAGCTTTTAAACATAAATACTTAATTATGCTTTTTTTTTTGGTACTGGGGATTGAACTCAGGACCTTTCACTTGTGAGGCAGGCAGCGGAACCACTGAGCTAAATCCCTGGCCCCTTAATTTTGTTTTTAATTCTAGTATCCTAACTGTCGAGTAATCTGCATTATATACTTAAGAGCTCAGTGGCACCACACCTACCTCACCAAGCGCAAGGTCCTAAAAGGTCCTGAGTTCAATCCCCGGTACCGCAAAAAAAAAAAAAAGAAAGAAAAAGAGCAACCCCTCCATATATATTTTTTGTACTGGGGATCAAACTCAGGACCTGTGCTTGCAAGGCAGGCAGTGGATGCCACTGAGCTAAATCCCCGGCCCCAAGAGCAACTATATTTTAACATCAGTGAGAGGTCAAGGAAAATTTGCATTCAGTTTGGTGGGAAAACTGAGTAGATAATGCATTTCTACTTTTAATTGTGTGGTTTTATAAACTCTGAAGAGAACTGTAATTTTAAAAAACCATCAGACAAAAAAAGAAACAAACAAAAAACCCCATCAGACATAGCCCCATTTATTTTATTTTTATTATTATTATTATTTTTTTTTTGGTACCAGGGATTCAACTCGGGTCCTTGTGCTTGCGCAGCAGGTGGCAAAACCACTGAGCTAAATCCTCGGCCCCAGCCCCATTTAAACAAAGACATTCTCAAAAACTGCTGCCAAGTGGACATTTAAAAAAGAACAGGTCGAGTATTCTTTATCCAAAATGCTGAAGATCAGAAGTGTTTTGGATTTTGGAATATTGATATCTACTTTACCAGTAGAGCATGTGCTCAGAAATTTTCACATTTTGGGCTGGTGGTATAGGTTAGTGGTGATCGCTTGCCTAGCATACTAGAGGCCCAGGGTGTGATCCCCAGCACTAGAAAAAAGTTTCAGATTTTGGAGTATTTTGAATTTTTGATTTTTGGACTGGGGTTGCTCAACTTACACATTTTAAAATGTACTTTACTGGTACAAATTAGTTAATAGCTCTAGTTACTGCCTGGCTTATGAAGTAGCTGGGAGTTAATCTTGTTTATTTGTAGTTTAAACCTAATATTTTTAGTGTATATAAAGCTCAATTACTTACATTTTGTGACTGACAGTATTGTTTGCCCTCTGTAAAAACAAAGCAAAATTTGAAAATTTCAAAGAAGCCAAATTATTCATTCTAGAAGTAACCTGTTAAGAATATTTTCTGGTGCCGGGGATTTAGCTCAGTGGTTCCGCCACCTGCCTTGCAAATACAAGGTCCTGAGTTCGATCTCTGGTACCAAAAAAAAAAAAAATTTTCTTTCCACAGCTTTAAAAAAAAATAAGGTTGGCATTATGCTTATATACAGTTTGACCATGCTTCCTTCACGTAACATATTATGCACATCTTCCCACACCATTAAAAATTGTTTGACACTATTATTTTTAAACTTCTTTTTTTTTTTTTTGGTATTGGGGATGGAACTCGGGACCTTGGGCTTCTGAGGCAGGTGCCGGAACCACTGAGCTAAATCCCTGGCCCTTAAACTTCTAATAATAATCCATCATATGATGTACCACAGCTTATTTACTTTTTTTTTTTGAGATTTTAACTTTGAAGGAAAGTAACTAACATATTGGTTATAAGATGGAGATAAGGACATACTTGTAACCCTAGCACTCAGAAGGCTGAAGCAAGAGGATCATCTCAAGTTCTACATAGTCTCAAAAAACAACAGAAAAGGAGGGCAGGCAATATAGAAAGAAGGAATATTTTAATTTATATAGTTTGTTAGCAGAAGTAATTGGACCAGTATTTTTCTTGGTCCCTGATTCCTGATATCTTTTGAAAGGTAGCCATGCTAACCACTATACCATAGTGTCTCCCTGTTATCTTTTGAAAAACATAATATTTGAGGAAATCTATTTTTTTTTTTTTTTTTGCAGTACCAGGGATTGAACTCAGGACCTTGCGCTTGTGAGGCAGGTGCAGCACCACTGAGCTAAATAACCGGTTTGAGGAAATTTAATTTTAAGAGTCAACATTACCAATATTTAAAATAGTAAAAATCCTGAAGACTGGGAATATAGTTCAGAGGTAGATCTTGTGCTAGGGGTGTGCAAGACTCTAGGTTCAGTCCCCAAAACCTCCACCATAAACCTGTAATCCTAGCACTCGAGAGGCTGAGGCAGGAGAATTGCCATGAGTTTGAGGCCAGCCTGGGCTACATAGTAAGATCCTGTCTTAAAAAATCAGAACCCCAAAAATGCAAATTAAAAACTTAAAGGTTCCCATTTGGCAGTTACATGAATTTAAAGATTTTGAGATTGTATTTACTTTAAAAGTATGTAAGATAAATCATAACTCAAAATTTAAACCTTTTGTACATTCTGGCTTTAGGATAAGTTGCAGAATCAGGGCAGTAAGTCTCCTTGTGTAGTCAAGGCTGGCCTTGATTCACAGTGCTGAGGGGATTACAGATGTGTGCCAAATTATGCCTGGGAAGTTTTGCTTTTTTTTTTTTGGTACCCGGGATTGAACTTGGGTCCTTCCGCTTGTGCAGCAGGTGGCAAAACCACTGAGCTAAATCCCTGGCCCGGAATTTTTGCTTTTAATGTTAGAAATTACAGCATTATATTCTTGTTTACAAAAGACAAAGTGATGTTTTAGATCAGTTTTTCAGATTATTATTTCACATGAAAATATTGTTATTAGTCCTAGAATTGTTATTTGACCAACAAACACATGTGAATAGTTTAAGGTTTTCCCTTTGAGTCTTTTAATCTTTTCCCAGTTATAATGAGGGATTCCTTCCTAATTAAAGCAGATGCTTTAAGTGTATGTGTGAGTAATAGGTTTATTAGTGATTGTGTATAAATAAATTATGCCTTCTCTGGTGCTATAAGGTCATCCTGATATGGGTATGTGGTGGTGTCTCAGGCTTCATAATGAATACCTGAAATTCTTATATATTGCATTCATCTGGAAGGGATCTGGTAGTCCCACTAAAGGACTGTTAACATCTCTTACAATTTCATGTTTTGGCAGGTAAACCTAGCCTTTAAGCAACCTGGAAAGAGGCTAGAGCACCAAGGAATTAGAATTGAATTTGTAGGTCAAATTGGTGAGTTTTAAAAATAGTATTACTTTTTTTCCTGTGATAACTTGAGTTTAAACAAGGTTGTATTTGGCACTTAACTGAATTAGAGTTTAGCTTTGTGAATGGAAGGAATTAATTTTGCATAATAAAAGGGAGAATTTAATAATAATTATGTTTCTTTTAATTGTATTAAATGATATTTGACTCATTTTCCCTTTGTTTTTGGAAGTCATACTAAAAGTGAAAGGAGTTATGTAAACTACCAGCCTTGAAAAATAGTTGAAGTAGATTAGTTGATTCACTGAAATTTCCTTTCTACATTTTTCACCAGCCTTACTCACAATTACCAGGCTCACCTCCATCTTTCATTTTCTAATTACCCACGCCATTTGTCTTCCTGACCTAGTGTGTGCCTGTAGCCAGACTCGCCTGTCCACAGAAAATTCCACCTGAAAAGGAAAGGAGTAATTTCTTCTTGACTTAGATCATATTGTGTACATTTTTATATATGTATTTCAGAGACATTCTTATATAGCAGGGAGTTAGACTGTAAATCTCTTTGTACTACAGATTCAGAAAAAAGGAAAAGAGGGCTAGGAGTGTGGCTCAGTGGTAGAGCACTTGCCTAAGCATATGCAAAGCCCTGAGTTCAGTCCCCAGCACTGCAGAAAAGAAAAGAAAGTATGTCTTTATAATTTTGTCTGCATAGCTAGGTTTTAAATCCAGCTTTCCAAGTTGTACTGTACATTTAAAAAAGTATCAAAATTAGGGGCTGGGGATTTAGCTCAGTGGTTTCGCCGCCTGCTGCGCAAGCGCAAGGACCCGAGTTCGATCCCCAGTACCAAAAAAAAAAAGTATCAAAATTGGAATGAGTGAATATTTATTACTTATTTACATATCTACTCTAGATGAGTACTTCTACTTGAGGAGCAAGTTACAGTAATTAACTGATGGTTGGTTTTATTCTTTAGTGTATTATAGTTTTATTGGTATAGTACACAGAGTTCGCCAAAGAATGTATACATCAGGAAAAGAAAAACTTGTATAAATACTTTAATACTAAATTTATTGAGCCATCATGAAATTACTACATTACCTATGCCCTTTACAGTTACAAGAGGTCCTCAAAGTGGTGGCCATTAGCTTTTAGACATTTATTAGTATGGCAAACTGCTAAAGTGTTCATACATTTTTTTTTGATGTACTCTGTATTTGTCTAACTGACACAAAACAATGAAATAGAATTTTTGCCTTAAAGGGAAGAAGTTCAAATAATTTCTGGTAATGTGTCAAATAGCTTCATATTGGGAGAGCCCTAAATACATCACAGGAATGAACTCATTTCTTTTTTTTTTTTTTTTTACAGTACCAGGGATTGAACTCAGGACCTTGGGCTTGTGAGGCAGGCAGCAGAACCACTAGAGCTAAATCCCCAGTCCATGAACTCATTTCTTATAGAAATTTTCATTGTGCTATGCTTCTTGAATTTATTTATGCCTAAGTGGACCATAAATAACTCTGGCTTATTAGAGACATATCCAAATAATTATTTTGGGAAAAATTATTTACTCTGGAGGTAGAAATTTGGGTTTTATTAAAATAGATATTAAATTTAATTGGTCTCTTTGCTTTTTTAAATTTCTTAGAACTTTTCAATGACAAGAGTAATACTCATGAATTTGTAAACCTAGTGAAAGAACTAGCTTTACCTGGAGAACTGACTCAGAGCAGAAGTTATGAGTTTGAATTTATGCAAGTTGAAAAGCCATATGAATCTTACATCGGTGCCAATGTCCGCTTGAGGTATGAATGTGTATTAGAAAATGTAAGCAGAGTCAAAACCAGAAAGTAATGGCTATTGTTGATGTCTATTTGAACTTTTAATTATAATTCTAGCCCAAAAGATAATATTTTGATCTATTTAATTTTTTATTACTTATATTACAAATTTTATTTTATCTCTTCCCCCCAATCCCCCTCCCCTTTGAAGACAATATTTTAAAACATTCTGTCACATATTTTGGCTAATGCTGATCTGAAAGAATAGCTTTCTAAGATTATAGATTCAGAGAAGCCTATTATGAGAAGTTTTACTTATGTATTTCCTTAAGTGAATTATCCCTTTCATTTGTTATGTAAACCAAATTACTCTCCAAATTTTTAGTTTCTTTTTGGTACCATGTATCAAACTCAGGACCTTGTGCTTGCGAGCAGGCAGCAGAACAACTGAGCTAAATCCCTGCCTAAATTTTTAGTTTCTTAACAAATCACATTCAGTATATGCTTAGGAAGTGTTTGGAGCCCCAAAGTGGCTGACTTGTCCAGGGTTCAAAAGGAGTGAATGGCAGAACTGAAGGAGGAGCCCATTTTTCTAAATTTCCAACCCAATGTCCTTTTCCTTCTCCACATCTTCATTCAGGAAGCTGTGGATGCCTCAGGGACCAGGGCAATTAAAGATACAGTACTAATCTGAATGCCTTTGGTCCAGAATCTTACTTTCTATGTTTGACATTACCCATCTGGTATTGGATTTGACAACCCAAATGTCAAAGAACAGTGCCTTAACTAGATAGGGATTCAAAACAAAACAGTGATAGGGAGAGATTTCCTCAAGTAGACTTGTTGACAGCCCTCCAAATTCATCTGGGAAGTATTCTTTTTAGAGGGTTAGGTGTGTAGCTCAGTGGTAGAGTGTGTACTTAGCATGCATGAGGCCCTGCATTCAATCCCCAGAACCAGAAAAGAAAAACAAAAGCAAAAGTAGAACTCCTACATTAGGTAAATGAAGTAAGTTGATCCCAAAGGAGTCCCAGGAAGGAGAAAGTTCAGTTAATGCTTGTTTATTTAAAACACTTAAATTTATCATAGGCAATTTACCTCATCCTCTCCATTAACTTTGTAGGTATTTTCTTAAGGTGACAATAGTGAGAAGACTGACGGACATGGTGAAAGAGTATGATCTTATTGTTCACCAACTTGCCACCTATCCTGATGTTAACAACTCTATTAAAATGGAAGTGGGCATTGAAGATTGTCTACATATAGAATTTGAATATAATAAATCAAAGTAAGTACCTTTCACAGATAAATATTCAGGGGAAATTTTAAAACAAGCTTTTCAGATCTCTGAAGTTAATCAATGCAAGATAGAATTGACATTAATCTGATGTTAACAGACTAACAGAATTTCTGAATGAAAGAAACTTAGGAGAATGGTCTGGCTTCTAATCCAGAACAGGTGTCTTTCATATTCTGTTCCTGATAAATCTGTCTGACCACTTTATGTAGAAGATCTCACCACCTCAGAAGGCAACCAGTGCCATTATGTCTATAAAAATTACTGTTTGACATCACTTCATTCTGGCCATTATTTTAAAACTAAATGAAAATCCATTTTTTTCTGACTAGTGAAGCAGTACATTTTTATTATTGAAAACTTAGAGGATAAAAAGTGAAAGAAAATCAAAATCACATATTTTCACTTTTACTAATTAACTGCTATTAATATTGTCATATCTTTTCAGCAGGGAGGGGGAGGTATATATGTTTTATATATGTTGTATTTTTACAAAATGGCCTCATGTTTTATTGTTTAATGCCTTTTTAAACTTTATCATGGAAGACTTCAAACATATGCCAAAATACATAAACAGTATATTAAAATAATGAATCTTCAGTGTACCAACAGTATTCTTAACATAATGAATCTTTATGTACCTATTGCCTGGCTTCGACATTTACCAGCATACAGATTTGTATCATCTGAATTGAGCTCTCACATGTCTCAGAATATATTGAAGCAAATTCTAGGTATATAATTTAATTCATAAAAATTATGCATCATTTAAAATATAACTACAATACTGTTGTTCTAAAACTATTAATAACTTTAATATTTTCACATGTCTAGTCAGTGTTACATATCCCTAGTTGTCTTATAAATGTCTTTTCTCTTTTGGCACCCGGAATCAAACTCAGGGCCTTGAGCTTGTCAGGCATGCATCGCGCCACTGAGCTACATCCCCAGCCCAAAATGTCTTTTTTTTTTTTTAACATGATTTGTTCAAATCAGTGTCCAAACAAGGTCTACAATGCATTTGCTTTTTTGAATCTTAAATCTCTTTACAGTTTTTCTCTTTTATTAAAATTAATTTCTTAAAGAATTAAATGTGCCCTATTTTAGCCCTCTCCTGCATATTCTTCTGTTGGGAGTTGGACTTAGTGTTTCTGCCAGGTATATTACTGAAAACTTGATACCCGTCCCTGCAGAGTCTCACATTGTTGATAAAATTATCAAATAGTTCGGGACCTAAAAACTTATCACTGAAGTATCCCTTCAGACTTACATGATTGTATTAATCAGTTCTTAGGAAGAGACTAAAAAATCCTTTGGGTATTGTAAATATTCCCAGGTTTATTACTACATGATTTCAGAGTACTTGGGAATAGAATGGTCTTTGTTTATTTGCTACTACAGCAGCAGACTCAACCTATAGAAGTAGTTCCTGTTAATCTTTTTGTGGAAGCAAACTTTTAACTTGACCATCCAGAGGGAATGATTAGCCTGAGTGTTAGCCCTATTTAGAACTTAATCTTCAGAGAACCTAAACCTAAAGATTTTTATGCTTGAAATATTTCAATTATATAAAGATTTTTTTCAACATTGAAAGCTCTACATAAGAGTTTAGCATCATTATTATGCTAGGATAATGCAGCTTCCATATCTGCAGAATAAAATGATTAAGAATTTTTTGGAAAAAAGGAATATGAATAAAGTAGGATTCTTAGTTATTACCCTAAAGATACCTATTAAAGCTTTTCACAACCTATTTCACTCTTTTTGTTTTCTTACACTGATACTTAGTAAGTGAAACTCCTTCCCAATAGGTATCATTTAAAGGATGTGATTGTTGGAAAAATTTACTTCTTATTAGTAAGAATAAAAATACAACACATGGAGTTACAACTGATCAAAAAAGAGATCACAGGAATTGGTAAGTTGAAGAGTATTTGAATTAAAATTCCTTGTTTAGCTAAAATTTTAGAAATCTTAAAATACTGTTTACACAAAATAAATTTAATATGCACATTGGAACTTTGCTGTTTGATATTGCTGGTCATAAGTAACTCAGTGTTTTTCATTGCTTTGTTTTGGTTTTATTTTATTTTTATTTATTTACTTATTTATTTTTGAGACAGGGTCTCACTTGCCCAAGCTGGCTTTGAACTCAGTGATTCTCCTGCCTCTGCCTCCTGAGTGTTGGGATTACAAGCATGTGCCACCACTCCTGGCTTGGTTTTATTTTTTGAGGCAGGGTCTCACAGTGTAGCCCAGGTTAGCCTTGAATTTTTGGTTCTCCTGCTTCAGCCTTTTGGGTGCTGAGATTACAAGGATACTTACTGCTTTATGAAATATTAATTGCCAGGGATGTAGCTCAGCACTGTGCCTGCCTTGCAAGTGCTAGGTCCTGAGTTCAATCCCCAGTACCAAAAAAAAAAAGTTAATTATTGAGCTGCACATAGTGGGGTGCTTCTCTTCGTCCTAGCTTCTCTGAGATAAGGGAGGAAAATCTCTCTTTCCTTCTCACTGGAGATGGAACCCAGGGCTTTGGCACTGAGCTACATCCTCAGTCCTTTGTATATTTTTTAATTTTTAATTTTATTTAATTTTATTTTTGGTACCGGGGAATGAGCTCAGGTCCTTGCACTTGTGAGGCAGGCAACGGAACTGCTGAGCTAAATCCATCCCCAGCAATGTGTATTTTTTATTTTGAGATAGGGTCTTGCTGAGTCACCAAGTTGCCCAGATGGGGCTCAGACTTACTATCATTTTGCCTCAGCCTCTCAAGTACTGAGATTACAGGCCTGGACCACCACACCTGGCTCACAGGGCTCTCTTGAGCCATGGGTTGGAGGGTAGCCTGGGAAACAAACATAGTAAGACCTTGTCTTACTATGTTAAAGTTCACATGGTTCAAAAAAGCTGTGGTAAAAATATTTTTTTCCTGCATCCAGAAAATTTTTATTTTTTTAATTAATAAATTTTATCCCATTCCCACTATCAAGCCCCCTCCCCTCCCTAGGTACAAAAGCTTTGTTCCATTTTTTCCTTGTAGTTTTACTTTTTTTCTTGTCCCTCCCTTCCTTTCTCCCTTCCTCCTCCCATGTTCCCCTTTCCATTTGAACACTTTCTTCCCATTTCCCAACATCCATTATACATCTGTTCTTATTTCCACATTCAGTTTCTCATACCAGAGAAACAATGTGATATTTAAACATGTGTGTCCGATTTATTTCACTTAAGAGTATGGTCTCAAGGACCATCCATTTAGTTATAAATGCCTGAAGCTCATCTTTATTTATGGTAGAATAGTATTCTATTGTAAGAAATAAAACCACATAGTCTTTATCCACTCGTCAGTTGATTGAGCTAAATCCCCGGCCCCATTTGGACTGTTTTTAAGATTTAGCTATTACAGACTGTGCTGCTATCAACATGGGTGTGCATATATCACTGTGGTATGAGCCTTTTAAAATTCTTTTTGGGAAGATACCAAGAAGAGGTATAGTTGGGTCAAATGGAACCTCTAGTTTTAGTTTTTTGAGAAATCTCCACAGTGATTTTCACAGTGGTTGCACAGTCTACACTCCCACCAGCAGTGGAGAAGTGTTCATAGCACCTCCAGCATTTGTTATAGGTTAATTTATTGATAGCCATTCTTTCTGGAGTGAGATGTTTTAATTTGCATCTCTTGAATGACCAGTGAAGTTGAACATTTTTTCATATATTTAATCTGCCATTTGTAATTCTTTATCTGAGAAGTGTCTTTATTTCAGATGCCCATTTTTGTATTGGGTCTTTAAATTTGGGAGGTCTGATTTTTTTTGAGTTCTTTATATATTCTAGATAATAGTCCTTTATCTGAATAGCTGGTAAAATTTTTTTCCCACTCTGTGGGTTGTCTCTTCACTCTGTTGGTGGGTTCTCTTGCTCTGCAAAAGCTTTTTAATAAGATGAGGCCCCAGTTGTTGATTCTTTGTAGTATTTCCTGTGTGCTCTGGGTTTTGTTCATGAAGTCTTTGCCTACTCCTATGTTCTCAAGTGTTCTACCTATTCTCCATCCCAGCAGATTTAGTGTTTCTGTTTTATTACTTAGATCTTTGATCCATTTCGATTTTAGGTTAGTGCATGGTGAAAGACATGGGTCTAGCTTCAATCTTCGGGATGTGGAAAGCCAGTTTTTCCAGCACCATTTATTAAAGAGGCATCTTTCTTCCAGTGAAGATATTTGGCTCCTTTGTCAAAGAGGAGATGGTTGAGTATGTCTGGAGTTGCTTCTGCATCCTCTAGTCTGTTCCATTGATCCTCAGGTCTGTTCTTTTGCCAGTACCGTACTGTTTCTATCATTGTAGCTTTGTAGTATAATTTAAAGTCGAGGATTGTGATGCCCCCTGCTTTACCTTTGTTGCCCAGAATTGTCTTTGCTATTCTAGGTCTCTTCTGGTTCCCAATGAATTTTAGGATTGTTTTTTCTAATCCTGCAAGATACTCTCTTGGGACTTTGAGTGTGATTGCATTCAATCTGTATAACAATTTTGGAAGTATGGCCATTTTCACCATATTGGTTCTTCCTATCCAAGAACAAGGGATATCTTTCCATTTTCTGATATCCTCTTCAATCTCCTTTTTCAGAGCACTGTAGTTTTCAATGTAGAGGTCTTTTACTTCCTTCAGTAGATTGATTCCTAGGTATTTCTTTTTTATTTTGGATGCTATCGTGAAAGGGGTTGTTTCTCTAATTTCTCTGTTAGTCTGTTATTTGTATACAGGAAGGTTATTGACTTTTAAGTGTTGACTTTGTATCCAGCTATGCCACTGAATTTGGTTATCAAATCTTAAAGTCTTTTGGTGGAGTTTTTGGGGTCTTCTATGTAGAGCATCACGTCATCTGCAAATAATGAAAATTTAACTTCTTCCTTTCCTATCCTTATTCCCTTTATTTCTTTCTCTTGTCTAGTTACTCTGGCTAATATTTCCAGAACTGTATTGAACAAGTGTGGTGACAGTGGACATACTTGTCTTGTTCCTGATTTTGGAGTGAAAGCTTTCAGTTTTTGTCCATTTAATATGATGTTGGTTGTTGGTTTGTCGTAGATGGCTTTTATCAGATTGAGATAAAGACCATCTATACCAATTTTCTGTAGGTTTTTTTTATCATGAATGGGTGTTGGACCTTGTCAAATGGACCTTTCTGCATCATTTGAGAGGATCATATCTTTTTTGTCCTTGGCTCTGTTATTATAGTGTATTACATTTATTGATTTGCATATGTTGAACCATCCCTGCATCCCTGGGATGAATCCAACTTGGTCATGGTGTATAACCTTGATGATTTGCTGCATTCTGTTTGCCAGTATCTTATTGAGGGATTTTGCCTCAGGTTCATTAGGGAGATTTGCCTGTAATTCTCCTTTTTGGTTCAATTCTTCTCTGGTTTTGGAATCAGGGTAATAGTTACCTCCAGGAATTAATTTGGGAGTATTGCTTCCCTTTCAATTTCATTAAAGAATTTGAAGAGTAGTGGCATTAGATCTTCTCTAAATTTGTTGTAGAACTCAGCAGTGAATCCATTAGGGCCAGGGCTTTTCTTTGTTGGTAGGTTTTTAATTACGTATTCAATTTCATTGGTGATATTGATTTATTTAGAATTTGTATATCGTCTTGATTCAGTTTTGTTAATTCATATATATCTAGGAATCTGTCCATTTCTTCTGTATTTCCTATCTTATTAGAATACAGGTTCTTTTTTTTTGGTACTAGGGATCAAACTTGGGTCCCTGCGCTTGCGCAGCAGGCAGCAAAACCACTGAGCTAAATCCCCAGCCCTAGAATACAGGTTCTTGAAGTAGGTATTGATGATCTTCTTGATCTTCTGGATCTGTAGGATCTGTTGTGATTTCACCCTTTTCATTCCTAAATGCATAGATTTGAGTCTTTCCTTTTTTTGATAAGGTTGGCTAAGGGTTTGTCAATTTTATTTAATCTTTCTTTCTTTTTTTTTTGGTACCAGGGATCGAACTCCAGTCCTTGCGCTTGCGCAGAAGGCGGCAAAACCACTGAGCTAAATCCCTGGCCCCTTTTATTTAATCTTTCAAAGAACCAACTCTTCGATTCATTGATTATATTGTTTTCTTAGTCTCCATTGCATAAATTTCTCCTCTGATTTTTATAATTTCCTCCCTCTTATGAGCTTTGGACTTGGCTTACTCTTCTTTTTCTGGAAGCTTGAAGTTCAACATTAGATTGCTTATTTGAGCCTGGCTTTGTTTTCCTCATAAGGGAATTAACCACTATTAATTTCCCTTGTAAGACTGCTTTCATTGCATCCCATAAGTTCTGGTATGTTGTATTGTCATTCTTGTTTAATTGTAGAAATTGAAATTGTCTGATTTCTTCTTTAATTTCATATGTGACCCATTCATTGTTCGGGAGGGTTTTATTTAATTTCCATGTGTTTATGAAGTTCTTGTGCTTTCTTTTGCTGTTGATTAACAATTTCATTGCACTATGGTCTGATAATATGCATGGGATTATTTTAATTCCTTTGCATTTACTTAAGCATATTCTATTAGCTAGTGTATGGTCTATTTTGGAGAAAGTCCCATGTGTCGCTGAGAATGTGTATTCTGATGTTGTGGGGTAGAACACACTGTAGACATCTAAGTTCATTTGTTCAAAAGTTTGATTCAGTTCTAATATTGTTCATTTTTTGTCTACTTGATCTGTCTGTATGTGACAGTGGGCTATTGTGGTCTCCCATTACAATTGCATTAGTGCTTATCTGATTTTTAATGTCTGTTAATATTTGTTTTGTACAGTTGGGTGCACTGCTATTTGGTGCTTATATATTTAGGATTATTATCTCTTCCTCTTGGATTGTTCCCTTTACCAGGATGTAGTGAGCTTCTTTGTCTCTCTTAATCAGTCTTGGCTTGAAATCCACTTTGTCTGCAAATAGAATAGCTACCCCTGCTTTTTTCCAGTTTCCTGTCACATGGAATACTGTATTCCATCCCTTGACCTTCAGTCTATGAATTGTTTTCAATTAATGTGTTTCTTGTATGCAGCATATTGTTGGATCTTGCTTCTCCATCCATTCTGCCAGTCTGTTTCTTTTGATTGGTGAATTGGGACTATTAACATTGATAGTTACAACTGATATGTATTGTCTTATCTCTGTCATGTTATTTTCCTGCTGTGGGCTTCCTTCTTTCCTTTTGTTTAATTTCCTGCCTTGCCTGGTGGATTCATTCTGTTGGGGTTCATGGAGTTGTAATCCTTACTGTGCCTTAGTAGAATATCCTTCAGAACACTTTGGAGAAAAATGTTTTATTTTTGTACCCATGTTACTTATAGGTAATAAATTTATAAGCTTTTAAATCCTAAAAGCTGGGCATGTGGGTTGTACCTGTAGTTCCAGCTAGTTGGGAGGTAGACTGCATGACCTCAGTAGTTCAGGGGCAGTGTGGGCAACCTAGTAAGACTCTCATCTTTTTAAAAACAAAAAACAGATGGAGTGGTTATACCTGTAATCCCAGCTAGTCAGGAGGCTGAGGCAAGAGGATCAAAAATTTGAGGCCAACCTGGATAAACTTCTTGAGATCTTGTTCCAAAATCAAAAGAGCCAGGGTTGTAGTTCAGTGGTATTCTGCCCCTGGGTTTGATTTCCAGTACCACCAAAAAAAGAAAAGTCATAATAATAAACACCTATGATTTTTTTTTGTACTGGGGATGGAATTCTGGTCCTTGTGCTTGGGAGACAGGCAGCGGAACCACTGAGCTAAATCCCTGGCCCTTTAAACACCTATGATTTCTTAATCTCCATTTTTCTACGTGCTAGTAAATTTAGGGGTTTTAAGGTAGTAAAACAAAGCTTTCTCATTGTTGTTTAAAAAGAAAGTGTTTAAACTTTTTTTCTAATTATAAAAATTATTTTCTATTATAGAAAATTTTAAGACCTAGGGATCATTACTATAGTTTTGGTATCTTTTTTGGGGGGGTGATGCTGGGAATTAAACCTATGATTTTATGCAAGATAGGCAAGTGTTCTACTTCTAGAACACTTGGGTATGGTTTTTTTCACTTAACATATGATTGACTTTCTTTCTTTCTTTCTTTTTTTTTTTAAATGCCTGAGTTCAAGTAATTTCTTAGAGGGTGAATTTCAAGATTTATATATCTGTGGGCTGGGGATTTAGCTCAGTGGTGCCGCTGCCTGCCTTGCAAGCGCAAGGTCCTGAGTTCGATCCCCAGTACCAAAAAAAAAAAAGATTTATATGTCTGTGTGCCAGGTATTCTTACTCCACAAGAAAGTCTGGGAGTTGATAGAGAACTAATATGTAGTGGGTAACTCTGACATGTATTGCTAGTTTCTATTTTAGCAGATATTCGAAAAAAATGGAAGGAACGACAGTGTGTGAAGATTCTTTTTTCTGGTGAGGTGTGTAGTGCACACCTGTAATTTCAGCACTTGAGAGACTGAGGCAAGAGGAGCACTATGCGTTCATGGCCAGCCTAGGCTACATAATGAGACCCTGTCTCAAATCCCCCCCTCCCCCAAGAAGATTCTTTCTCCTGGCCAGGTACTAACCAGGCCCCACCCTGCTTTGTTTCCAAGATCAGCGATCAGGCAAGTTCAGGGTGGTATGAATGTAGACAAGAAGGTTTTTTTTGAACTGCATGTTACCTTTGGGAAAAAAAAGTATGAAACATTGAGTGTATTAATTATAAATCAAGGAATAGGAAAGAATGACCAGAGCCAAGCATGGCATGTTGGCACACGCCTGTATCCCAGCACTCTGGGAGGCTAAAGCAGAAAGATCACAAGTTATCTCCTTAAAAGGATCCTGTCTCAAAGTTTTAAAAAAAACAACAAAAGGTCTGGGGATATAGCTCATTACGAAGACTCTGGATTCACTCCCCAGTGCTACCAAAATTTTTTTTTTTTTTTCATAAAATGGGAAGATAAAATAGTGGTAAAATAATGTAGTTGGAAAGTAAGAAAAAGGTATAAGTAAGAAAAAGGAAATTGTATTCTGGAAATATTTAAATTAATATCCTGCATTCTTGTACTAGGACCCAGTACTACAACGGAAACAGAAACTATTGCCAAATATGAAATAATGGATGGTGCACCAGTAAAAGGTAATATATTTTTCATGTACTTCTTTTGTGTAGTGAGGTGTCTATTGCAATTTAGTTTGAGTATTCATTTATGTGAAAGTATTTATAATTCTTTTTGTTTGTTTTTTGAGACAGGGTCTCGCTATGTAGTTCAGGCTGGCCTTGAGCTTGTGGTGATCCTCCTGCCTCAGCCTCCCGAGTGCTGGGATTATAGGCATGTGCCACACGCCTGGCTGGAAAATATTTATAATTCTTAAAACCACTCTTAACTTTAATGATGGTTTTTCAGGATCTCTTTGTAGAGCTGCTAAAAAGACTGATAATACTGCCTAGTCTGAAAACAGGTTAAGGTTTTGCTTAGTTTAAATTCAGAATTTGAAGAGACAGTTTTGCTTATCTCTTCTCTGGTTCTAAATTTGTAATATTTTAATTGCATTCTGTTAAATAGTTCATCTCTACATATTTTTTTGTCATGCTGATCCTAAGATGCAGTAGAGCTCAGCATTAATTCCTGTGGGATTTTTGGAGCCCTTATAGCCTCCCAAGAAAATGATTCCCTTACTAGTGTCTTCAGTGTCTGAGATAGTGAGCTGCGTTTAACTAAATTTATGGTTTGGATTTTTCTCTTTGGTAGTAATTACTTCAAAAAGTAGCTACTGTTCATTGAATGTCATTTGTAAACAGTGGATTGTAGTTTAAGTGCTATAAAGCTCCCTACTGGTCTCTGAGTTAGGTTCTTATGTCCTTTATTTTACAGACAAAATTGAGGTGCAGAGAGATTAAAAATTTTGACAAAGGTGACATAGCTAATTTTGGCAGAGTTGAGGTTTGAAGCCAGGTCTTTTTTACTCACATACTGTATATTTAACCTTGTGTTACACAGTATTCCTTTTTTTTTTCTTTTGGTACCGGGTATCGAACTCAGGACCTTGCGCTTGTGAGGCAGGCGGTGGCACCACTGAGCTAAATCCCCGGCCCTACAGTATTACTTTTTAAAATTCCAGCAGCCACAGAGTTTATGTTGTGGGACAGTTTTTATGTCTTACAGCAATAGATGTATGTGCATGAGAAAAATATTATGTACAGATAATTAAGAAGGAAATATGCAAATATCTTTCTAAGGAAAATAGAAGCCCTAAGCATCTGAATAGTAATCTTTTTGGTAATGAAGACATATTATCATTCTGTTTATTTTTGTTGTTGTGGATGAATTAGTAGTAAGTTTTCAATACTTTATACATGTGCTTAGGAATTATGAAAATAATCAGCAGAGAGTAATAAAACTAGGTCTATACAGCATTTAACTGCTGGCACTGTTTTAAGATCTTTATATATTTCACCCACACAGTCCTTACAAATTCCCCACAAGTGAGTATTGTTATTCCCCATTTCACAGAAACAGAATAGTTAAGTCACACAAGCCAAGGTCACTCAGCCAGTAAATCGTAGAGTGGAGATTTGATCCAGGTGTTCTGGCTCTAGAGCACTGGTTCTCATCAAGAGACAACTTTGCCCCGCAAGAGACATTTATTTGGGGACATTTTTAAGTTTGACCCTTGGGGAGCGTTACTGGCTGGCTTTAGTGGGTAGAGGCCAGGTGTGCTGGTAAGTGCAAAGGACCTTCCACCAGCAAAGATTTATCGGGCCCAAAATGTCTTTAGTGCTGAAGCTGAAAAATCCTGGGTTTTGCTGCAGCTTGTGAGGGGTAAGTGAACTGAAGGGTAAGTGTCTGCTCTGTAATACTCAGTCCTGTGTTTTATGTGGCTGTGTTTAATCATCTTTTATTTTTTTTAATCCTTTAGAATTAAATGGGAAACTGCTTTTCTTTCAGGTGAATCCATTCCAATAAGACTATTTTTAGCAGGGTATGACCCAACACCAACAATGAGAGATGTGAACAAAAAATTTTCAGTAAGGTACTTTTTGAATCTAGTGCTTGTTGATGAGGAAGACAGAAGGTACTTCAAGCAGCAGGTATGATACCACCCAGACTGATCTTTTGTTCTGTGGCAGATCTAGAAACACCTAGAAAGGACTCCCTTTTTAAAGTTTTATTGTATGAGTGAGTGAGAATTTCCAAATTAGTGAAAATACTGAGGATATTATAAAGAAGTAGGTGTTTTGATAGATCCCTTCTCATTTTGCAGGACTCCAAAATAAGCTATAATTTGTCAAGGCCTTTATTGTTCTTTTAAAATAATTTAGTCAGTAAAGAGCAAAGAATGAAGTAAAGGCCAGGAAAAATTCCACCACCATTGTTAACTAGTTTTCTGGACAAATTTGTGTGTGTGCGTTTAGATCATATTATGCATATTTCTTTAATTTGTTTTTATATTCAGTAGTGTCTTATCAACAAATAAAGATCTCCATTATTATACCCCTTCCACTTCTCTCCATTGTCCTTTTTTGATACCGGGATCGAACTCAGGTCCTTACCCTTGTGAGGCAGGTGAGGTGCCACTGAGCTAAATCCCCAGCCTTCTCCATTAAACTTTTAATAGGTGCATATGTTTGATGGAATTTGGGGGCTTACCCCCGTCCTTTTTGCAGTACTGAGGAGATTGAACTCAGGGTCTTTGCACTGAACTACACTCTCACTCACCCCACCTCCACTTTTAAAATTTTTTTTGGTGGGGTACTAGGTATCGAACTCAAGACCTTGCCCTTGTGAGGCAGGCAGCAGCAGAACCACTGAGCTAAATCCCCAGCCCCTTAATTTTTTTTTTTTAATTTTGAGACAGGGTCTCACTAAGTCACTAAGTTGTTCAGGCTAGGTTTGAACTTTCAATCCTTCCAGAGTGCTGGGATTACACCCCCACACCCAGCTTCATTTTTTTTCCTTACTAAACACTTCTATTATAAATGTCTGTAAGGTGACCCAATTCTAATAGTTATTTTTCAAGTGAAGTGTTAATCATAAAATTTGTTCTCATTTGAAAGTCAGTTTAAGCATGCTGTAACCCTAGCACTCAGGAGGCTGAGGCAGGAGGACTGCTGTGAGCTACAGACCAGCCTGAAAGTGGAATTTAGTTTTGTTATGGTTAAAACTGAAGTTGCAGTTAGTATTCCATAGTGAAAATGTAAGGCCCAATGGAGAACATTAATTTGTTGATGTCTTATGTTTGTCTGTGTAGGAAATCATCTTATGGAGAAAAGCTCCTGAAAAACTGAGGAAACAGAGAACGAACTTTCACCAGCGATTTGAATCTCCAGACTCACAGGCATCTGCTGAACAGCCTGAAATGTGAACTGAATAGGAGGAAAAAAGGAAAAAATCTGTAACCGCTAAGTTCAGCAGGTTAAAGATGGTTGCAGCATGTAGGGGGGGAAAGAGGACAAAAATCCATATATAATTGTCTTCCTTTATCTTACAGTGCTGCATTTATTTTACAGTATAACTAAATGTTCATGTATAAACATTTTAAAAAGTGCTTTCTTTGAAACACTGGAGATTTCCTAAGCTGCCTTTTTTATTTTTATTTTTTTTTTAACTGCACACTTTGATGATAAGCACTCAGATATTGCATCAGCATAAACATTAAAGATTTTCATTTGAATAGGCTGGTATTTGTAATTTTGCTTTCTTTCCTCGTAATGTTGACTGTAAATCCTTTTCTTCTTACTAATGAATACCTTTTTCTCTACATGTAAAAAATTAAATATTTTATGTTCAAATTAAATTAGAAAACCTAAGTGGACCTTATATCTTGCAAAGATTTAGAACATGGCATATTAATATTTTTGAGAACTACAATTCTTTTTACAAATGCATTTGAGAAATGTACATGGAGTGTTTCACTGAAGGTGCTTCTGGGTCTACCGTTTCATAGCTTTCTGCCTTTTATCCTCTTTGAAGACTTCTGTGTTACAAATATTTTTCCCCCTGGGGATTATATGGCATGGCATTGTGGTCCTTTTTTCTCCTCCATATTAAGTAATCATTTTGGTATTATTTCCCAGCAGTACTACCATATGTATTCTGCAACATGGAGTTGACATATGTTGGCATTTTAGAACTTGTTACAACTATGTAATTTTTCCAGTTAGAAATGTGTATATATATTTAATTTAAGAAATAGTCTTGTCACATGTGCAAATATCACTTTCATGATTTTACAGATTTATTCATTCTTCAGTGGAAAATTGGGAGGTGGGGGGTTCAGGGGGAATTTTATACAGATCTGGGCAATTTCATGTTTGTTAAACTGTAATTATGGCTAGTTCAAACTCCATTTCAACCTCACCCAGTCTGTCTTAATTTTTTTAAACACTAAATTCAAGTCATTTGTTCAGTGTCTAAAAAAGAGGTTGCAGTCATCTACTCATATGCATGGGGTCTGATCTCAAATACACTAAATGTGGAGCGTGGAAACCAAAACAAAGCCTGCTATGTGGAAAGTACTTTCACTTATGGTTCATTGGTTTTTTGTACCAATATCTTAAAATACACTTCAGTGCAAGTTTTGTCAGTTAATCTTACTTTATGAGTAAGCTAATAACCCAAACTACATTTCTTTAAAACTGTTTTACTACTGTGGCACTTTGATAAAATGGTCAGTAACCAACTTCTTTACTGGCCAAAGGTTCCATGTACCATGTGCTGGAGCATTTTAAATGTGAGTATCTATGAATGGTAATGTTTTCCTTCATGTAAGTGCCTGTTCAGAATTTTTAAAATGCCAAATATTTTCATGGTCACTTGCATGTAGTAATTTAGAAAATATTCAGAGATTTTGAAATTTACTTGTATTTAACCAGCCTCATTGTGCAACCATGATGTGTAATAAAGAATTTGAAACAGAAACTGAGCTTGCCATTTGATTAAAATAGCTCCATTCTCAAATCTCCTTATTAATGAATAGTACCAGTTTCAGCAATAAATTGTTATATAATGCTTTTAATTAGTTGGCTTAAAACACTCATCTACAAGATGATTATTCACTTTCTGTGAGATTGTGTTGCATAACAAATTCAAAGAATACAAGAGTGGGCCAATTAGAAATAAAAAGCTATTGTGTTTTTATGAAGAGTACAATGTCTTAACCCAGTGATTTTCAACCCTGGGTGCATGTTAGAATCACCTTAGACGCTTTTCAGCATAACCATGGCTGGGTCCCACCCAGACCATAAAAATCAGTGTCTCAGGGACTGGGACATCTGTATTTAAAAAAAGCTATCAAAGATTGAGATACTGATTTAAACCATTTAAACTGTTACTTCTTTTACTAGTGAAGTTTTTTCTTATTTTGATATAGTTGGGGAAGAGAAACTTCTATACTCATACTAAGTGGCTGCCTGTGAATATATTGACCAAAAAAAGAAAAAGAAAAAAACAAAACAAAACAGGAGAAAAGGAACATTTAATCAGCCAAGCGTGGTGGCACACTCGGGAGGCTGAGGCAGGAGGACTGCCGAGAGGTCAAGGCCAGCCTGAATTACATAGCGAGACCCTGTCTTTAAAAAAGAAAAAGTAATTACATCTATGAGAGTTCATAAAAATGTGACTCGAAGTATAGAATTTGGGGCTTACATATAATTTTTTTGAAGAAGTAGGTACCTGAAAGAGTATTTTAGGAACGATAAATAGCCCTTAGGAGAATAGATGAGATGGTAATTTTTTGACTGTTTAGATGTGTTGCCCACTTAACTGGAGATAAAAGTCTTCCTTGGTTGTTCCTGTGGAAGAGATTTATAATAACTGAATTATTTTGAGAGGCGCTGCTTTGAAGCAGATAAGAGATTTCTGGAACACGCCTTCTCAGTTTTTATAGTGACACATGGTGGCACACACCTGTAATCCTCACACTTGGGAGGCGGAGGCAGGAGGATCAAAAGTTTATGGCCAGCCTAGACAATGTAGTGAGACCGTCTCAAAAAATCCATTCATAAGTTTTGTGCCTCAGAGGCATATTTTGGACCCCTTCAATATGGATTTAGTAGTTGGAATACTCAATTCTAATTACATGTATCATGTGAGTCAGTGAAGTTTTAAATTCTTTGCTGTTCCATTCATATTCAGTTGACTATTGAGTATGCATAAAAGCACTAGTGATTTATACTAGCCTGTTTAGGAACTTAATGTACAGTATTTTAAGTTTCAAGTCAGGTATAAAAGCATAGTGAGGAAAATGTACATCCTCAAATCCTTTTCCTTAGGCTTGGGGTATCCTATAAGCATAATTCTTTTGTTTCCCTTTCTTTCCAGACAGGGTCTCACTATGTAGTTATGTAGTTCAGGCTGGTCTTGAACTGTGTAGCCCATGCTGGCCTCATGGTGATCTTTTCTGTCTCAGCCTCCTGCGTGCTAGGATTACAGGTGTGCATGAGCACACCCCACTATAAGCATAATTCTTATTACATCATCCCTGTATCAAATCTTTTAGTGACTGAAATATTACTTCCAGGATAGTCTAATTCCCCATTGCAAAATACACGTTCAGCTCAGTATGCCACATACCCTGGAGACTGCCCGTCCTCCATACATTCCAGCTAAGTTCTACAGAGGCTGTTCTGCAAATCATGCCTGATCCCATCTCCATCTCCAGGCCCAGATGTACTTTTATTGTTCTGCAAAGACATGCTGTGCACACCATTGGGACTGTACCTAACCATGCTTTTAAAAGACATTGTAATGGCTTGATTTTGTTCATTTTAAGCTGCTTGAGGGCTCACAGTGCTTGTCTTGGTATACTCTGTACCCATCAATTTTGTTTTTTTTTGTACCGGGGATCGAACTTGGGACCCTGTGCTTGCAAGGCAGGTGGCGGAAGCACCGAGCTAAATCCCTGGCTCCATCACAATTTTTAAGTAAATGGATGAACCTTTTTCTATATACAATTAAAAGTTCCCTCGTTTAGGAAAAATGTGGGTTTGTTATATAATAAAATTAAGGACAGTAACTCAGTATTAGGATAAAGTAATAGACCAGGTTCTCAAGCAGTATCAGGCCCTGAGGAGAATGCAAGACAGAATAGGGCCTTGTACAAATTCCATAATCACATCTGATGAAATGGTGTCCCCAGTCCCAGGTGTGGGGAGAGTAGACCAGATAACTAAGATGCCTTCCCACTCTTATACATTTACTCTTAAAATTTTACTTAGAACAAATAATTTGCTGTCTAGATCATGACAGCCTTTATACCAGAAAAATACTAGAAGCTTCATATTACAGAATTTGGGTAGGCAGGATGTGACAGGCAGAAATCTACAGAATGTTTTTGTGAAATTTTCGATAACTAGCTTTTTGTTGTTACCAGGGAATGAACTCAGGACCTTGGGCTTGCCGAGGCAGGTGAGGTGTCACTGAGCTAAATCTCTGGCCCCTGATAACTAGCTTTTAACAGCAAAAGCACAGAGGACTTTTATTTCCTACCACTTAGGTTATCTTCTTTCACTTCTTTTCTCCCATTTACTTCTGTATTCATGCTGCCAATGTTACCATGTTGTAGTGGGAAGCCTATCTGCTTTGAAGCCAGAAAGATTAGTCTCTGACTCCACCCCTTAATATATAACACTGGGGCAAGTTACCTGGCTGAACCCTACCTACCATGCTGGTGACAACTAAAAATGGTTACCAGGAACTTAACCATGTATGAGGGACCTAGAGCTGGGACTCCAGACATCTAATGGGCTGACTAAAAGCAGGATGAAGCTTGGATTACCTTGAAACTTTGGAACTGATCCCTGCTCAGCTCTGCATATAGGCATGTTAATCACTTAAAGTGTCTGTAATGTAAGGTTTATTAGCCCTAGGTTCACTTGAGCTATCGCATCTGTTCACTTGGCCTCTCATCTTTGTTCAAATCTGAGAACACCAAGAATAACTAGTTTCAAGGCTTGTAGGCACAGCCAATTGCCAGCGTTTTACCAGGTCCATTCTAGACCTGGGGCAAGGCCTGGATATCTCTGGTCATTGCCCTTAACCTGCAGCCACCTCAAAGTCCAGGAAAATCACAGCCTCTCAGACAACCCCACAATGAGATCACCACCCAAGTGGGAGCAATTACCCCATGATGGGAACTGAGGCTGTCCCCTACCCCCCAGCAGGAGCCTTATCTCAAAATGGGAACCCAATAGCCCCTTTATGTGATGATCGCTCTCCTACCACCTTGCAGAACCAGTCCTGAGATACAGTTTGGAGAGGATTACCTATGCTGTCAAACTATGCAAACTCACCAGCTATGCAAACCTCTGCTCTTGTGCCTTTGTTTTCCTCTCCTATAAAACCCTAAAGCTACTTTCAGTCCTTTGTAGACAGATCTTGAACCACTTATCTGTGTTTCCCAGCATGGCCCATGCTGATTAAAGCTCCCTTCCTGCCCTTCACCACTGCTCCTCTCATTGGTGTTATGGGATTGGTAGCCAAGCCTGGAGTGTTGAGACACTAGAGCTGCAGCTTTTGCCCTAAAACTCCAGTAACAAGCACACTAAAAGGATTAATAACCTCACACTTGCTTCAGGTGCATATTAACTGTATAGTTTATCCCTCATCATTCTTTGTTTCCAAATCTGGTAAGACATTCTTGTTTAATGTCATTTCCTATCACATTGGTTACTCACTAAATTTTGTAAGGGTTTCTTTGTAAATTCTCTTCATTTCACATGTACCGTTTTCTACCATAATTTGGACGAACACCAGTCCCCCACTTTCAGCTAGAACTAATGTTGAAATCATAATTGGTTTTCTTTCCTTCCCAATCAAAAATTGGTGATTTTGTTTGCTCTAGTCTATTCTGGAAACTTTCAAAATTAATGATTTCTCTTCTCAAAAATTTAATGACTATTTGTAAATCACAGAATGAGGCCTGCTTTATTTCTGGTATTTAAAATTTTTCAATATGCTTTTTCCATAGTTAAGCCTCTTCTACGCCAAAGATTTACCACTTGTTTGCTTTTAAATCTGGCAAAAATCTTACAGCTGACTTCTGCCTGCCATGCCATATGGACTGTTTCTCATCTGCACTGCCCCTCTGCCATGCTGCTCTGCATTAGAACCAGCTGACTATGGACTGAAACCTCTACAAACTTGCTGCAAATCCAGGTGGAATCCAGGGCTTCCTACATGCTAGGCAAGCACTCTGTTACTGAGCCACATCCCCAGTCATAAAGAAAGACAACGTATAACAGGGAAACTTGCATACCCATGTTTTTAGCAGCGCAACTCATATAGCTAAAGCTTGGAAGCAGCCTATATGTCCATCAACAGATGAATGAAGAAAATACAATGGAGTACTACTGTGCTATAAAGAAGGATAAATGTGAGTCAATTGTAGGAAAATGGATGCATTTTGAGACCATAATGTTAAGTGAAATAAATCAAACACAGAAGCTTAAATATTGTATGGTTGCTCTTATATGAGGAACAAACAGTCTACATAAATTAAAGAGCAAAATAAAAGATAGATAATAGGAAACGGAGATAGATCTTTTGCAAAGAGGAAGATCAAGAGATAGAGGGAGTGAGGAGTATGGGCAGAGGAAGGGCTCATAAAGAGAAGATATTGTATGATGAGCATGCTGCAACAATCCCTACAATTATGTACTCCAAACATGTACTAATAAAAATTTTAGGGCCTGGGGATTTAGCTCAGTGGTTTTGCCTCCTGATGCACAAGCGCAAGGACCCAAGTTCGGTCCCAGGTACCAAAAAAAAAAAAGAAAGACCAAAAAAAAAAATCTCCTTACAGTTGTGAAATTGCTTCTTGGAGTTGTGGTTAGCTTATCAGAGTAATAGGTATTTGCAATACTTAACGTGTACTGTTATCACAAAACCTGATCAGAAATTCTTATTGCAAAGGATGCTCC